TAGACAAAAAACAAACTGTTCTATACACTGAAATTGCGCATGCTCATTATACACACACGAATTTAAAAGCGTCTACGCAACCTTGTAGGCGATGAATTATTTTCTACTATACAGCCTCTTCTCCACAGATGAAAAGTTGTAAGCTTCTCGCTATTCTTTCGCTATTTCTCTGGCAAAAGTTCTGCTAAGTTACATTCGTTAGTTTCATCAGTTCAGACCTTCACAACTAAGACCAGCGAATACAGTTATCAGCGCCAAATGATAAATATTATACCAGCCTAACCTAAAACTAAGATAAATTCATCTTGCATATTTATTTATAATTTTATTGTTTTTAAATGATGTACTTTTAATATTTTTGTATTTTTTCTTGTTTTAAATGATGTACTTTGCTATTTTTGTATTCATTTATATTTCTTTATTTTTTGTACTTTTGTACTTTTAATAGTTTTGTATTTATTTACATTTTTCTTTTAAAATGATGTACTTTTAATATTTTTGTATTTATTTATATATTTTTAATTTTTAACTGATGTACTTTTTTTAATATATTTTATTTTTTAATATTTCTTCTTGTTTTTAAATGAGGTACTTTTAATATATTTGTATTTATTTATACTTTTTCGTAATTTTAAATGATGTACATTTAATAATTTTGGTATTTATTTATATTTTTCTGGTTCTGTACTTTTTAATATTTTTTATTTATTTATATTTTCTCTTGCTTTAATTGATGTACTTTTAATATATTTGTAATCATTTATATTTTTTTCTTATTTCTTTTATTTTTATAATATTCTTGTATTCATTTATATATTATTTTATTTTAAATGATGTACTTTTAACATTTTTGTATTTATTTACTTATTGTTTTATTTTTAAATGATGTACTTTTTTGTATTTATTTATATATTTTCTTGTTTTTAAATGATGTACTTCTAATATTTTTGTATTTTTTACATTTTTTGTTTTTAAATGATGTACTTTTAATATTTTTGTATTTTTTAGTAATTTTTTTTATTTTTAAATGATGTACTTTTAATATTTTTTATTTTTTATATTTTTTCTTGTTTTCAAATAATTTACTTTTAACACTTTTGTAGACATTTATATTTTTTCTTGTTTTTAAATGATGTACTTTAAATATTTTTTTATTTATTTATATTTTTTCTCATTTTTAAATGTTAAACTTTTAATATTTTTCTATTTATTTATATTTTTCTTGCTTTAATTGATGTACTTTAATATATTTTATTGATTTATATTCTTTTTATTTTCAAAATATTTTTGTATTTATTTGCATATTGTTTTATTTTTTAAATGATGTACGTTTAATATTTTGTATTTATTTATATTTTTCTTGTATTTAAATGATGTACTTTTAATATTTTTTATTTATATTTTTTCTTATTTTTAAATGATGTACTTTTAATATCTTTGTATTTATTTATATTTTTTTCTCATTTTTAAATGATGTACTTTTAATATTTTTTATTTATGTATATTTTTCTTGTTTTTAAATAATGTACTTTTTTAATTTTTTGTATTTATTTACATACTGTTTTATTTTTAAATAATGTATTTTTGTATTTATTTATATTTTTCTTATTTTTTAAATGATGTACTGTCTATATCTTTGCATTTATTTATATTTTTCTTGTTTTTGAATGATGCACTTTTAATATTTTTTTATTTATTTATATTTTTTCTTATTTTTCAATGATGTACATTTAAAATTTTTGTATTTATTCATATTTTTCTTGTTTTTAAATGATGTACTTTTAAAATTTTTGCATTTATTTATATTTTTTCTTGTTTTCAAATGATGTACTTTTAATATTTTTGTATTTATTTCAATATTGTTTTATTTTTAAATGATGTACATTTAATATTTTTGCATTTATTTATATTTTTCTCGTTTTTTAAATGATGTACTTTTAATATTTTTTATTTATTTATATTTTTTTCATTTTTTAAATGATGTACTTTTAATATTTTTGTATTTATTTATATTTTCTTGTTTTTAAATGATGTATTTTTAATATTTTTATTTATTTATATTCTTTTCTTATTTTTAAATTATGTACTTTTTAATATTTTTGTATTTATTTATATTTTTCTTGTTTTAAATCATGTAATTTTAATATTTTGTATTTATATTTTTTATTTTTAAATGATGTACTTTTGATATTTTATATTTATTTACATATTCTTTTGTTTTTAAATGATGTACTTTTAATATTTTTGTATTTATTTATATTTTTTCTTATTTTTAAATGATGTACTCTAAGTATTTTTGCATTTCTTTAATTTTTCTCGTTTTTAAATGATGCACTTTTAATATTTTTGTATTTATTTATATTTTTCTCATTTTTAAATGATGGATTTTTAATATTTTTGCATTTATTTTAATTTTTTCTCATTTTTAAATGTTGTACTTTTAATATTTTTTGTTTATTTATATTTTTTCTTTCTTTTAAATGATGTACTTTTAAAATTT